CTTTTGGGGGGCTTCCCTTACATAGAGTTTAAGATTCACCAATATATTCTGTGCCCCTTAGAAAGGTAAATATTTCACTTGGAAACCTTTGTGGGATTTGGGCTTTCACAGATGGAGATCAAAGATAGGAATTAGTTCTCTGCACCACTGCTGACCAATAATGTCAACAAGTCCTCCCTGTCCCTTTGTCTTTTCCTCTACAAAAGCAAAAGAATTTCTCTCTATGGCACAAAGATGTGTTGAAGAGTTTCAGAGACAGGCCTCAAATTCAGAACAGAGGTTTTCACTCGTTGTTGTTGTTGTTAGGTGCCATCGGGTCAGTTCCGACTCATAGTGACCCTATAGGACAGAACAGAACTGCCCCATAGGGTTTCCAAAGAGCAGCTGGTGGATTTGAACTGCCGACCTTTTGGTTAGCAGCTGAGCTCTTAATCAGTACGCCACCAGGGCTCCAATGAGGTTCTCACTAGATCTTCTTAAATATGTTATTACTTAAACCACTTCATGTCAAACAGTCTATACCTGGAGAAAACCAAGTTTCATTAGTTATTGCTTGGCTCTTGGCATCAGTAACATGAGGTTATGCAACCTTGCTTAAAGAGCTCAAGCTCTGGAATCACATAGATTGGGTTCAAACTCCAGCATGGCTACTTACTACCTATATGATCTGAGGCAAGCTACTTAATGTCTCTAAGCCTCAGTTTCTTCCTCTGAAAAACAAGAGGGTTTTTCAGAGGGTTGTTGTGAGGGTTAAAGGAGCACATGTAAGATATAAAGTGCCCAGGGTAGTAGGCAGCACACAGTAGGCACTTGATAAATAGTAGCTAATAATAAAGTAATAATGAGGATATTATTTTAGTTAGTTTTGAACTCTGATGAAATTTATTTTTTGGATAGAGACATTCTACAGTATTATAAATCTATACTGCTGATCCAGCCTTAACTCACAACTGATTTAAAAGCAGAAAAGTACATCCTCTTGTATAAATTCTCCCCAAGAATTTAACCAGTGGGGTCTATGGACCCCAGAGTTCACATCAACTCTTTACTTCAGCATAGATGGACTGTCTACTTGGAGGTTAGTAAAATGATTCCAGAGCATTTTATTCCGACAAGACTGGAGTGCCACCCTGAGGTCAGCTTTGGTCCTAGAGAATTCTGTCCTGATTGCAAGAATATTTGAGTAGTTACATTTACACTGCATCACATTCACACTAAAGCCTGAAAACTACACTCTATTGACTTTTTATTGATGGCATAAAAATTTAAAAAGTATAAAAATTTGGATTTCTTAAGTACTCGACTTGGATTTCTAAAGTATTAGAGTATTGGTGTTAATACAGGGTGGTACAAACAGTTAATACCCAAAGCTAGCTGCTAACCAAAAGGCTAGAGGTTCAAGAATTCCACACAGAGGTGTCTCGGATGAAAGCCCTGGTGATCTGCTTCTGAAAAATCAGCCACTGAAAACCTATAGAGCATACTTCTACTCTGACACACACAGGGTCACCATGAGTTGGAGCTGACTCATGGCAACTATAGTATTGGTGAATCTTGAGAATTTAAAATTGAAAACTTAGCCCCAGGGAAAGTGAAATTTTTGTCTAAGTGTGAGTGGCTGGTGGATTTATCTACATTAATCACCCTCTTCTCAACCTGTATTTTAATTAAGGCCCTGAAGCTGTGGTCTAGTAGTTTCTAGCTCTCCGTGAAGAAATACTACCTATTTCCAGATGACCATTAGAACCTCCACTCAGGTGTCCCACAGAAATCTCAATCTATTCAGAATCAAACTTATTACATTGCTCTCGACCAAATCTGTTGTGTTGTTGTGTGCCATCCAGTGGATTCCTACTCATAGCGACCCTGTATGACAGAGAAGAACTGTCCCATAAGGTTTCCTCGGCTGTAATCTTTAAAGGAGCAGATCACCAGGTCTTATCTCCTGTGGACTGGCTGGTGGGTTCAGACCACTGACCTTTCAGTTAGCAGGTAAGCATTTAATCAGTGCACCACCAGGGCTCCTTCACCCAAACCTAACCCTCCATTATTCCCCATCTCCATGAACAGAGCCACCCTCGCTCCGCCCTAAGTTTGAAACCTGGGAGTTACTCTAGGTTTCTCCCTCTCCCTGTGTTCTCCCACACTCAATCACAAGGAAATACTATCAAGTTCACTCCTTAACGTCCTTTAGATCTACTCCATTCTCTTCTTCCCCACTGCTAATGCTTTCTTCTTATTAGACTACTATTATAATATTCTCTAGGTCTCGGGTCTACCTGACTCCACACTTGCCTCCCTTCCACATTGTTGCTAGTGATCTTTTAAAGATAAAAACTGTTTATATCACTGGTTTAACATTCTTTAATGGGTCTCAATGCCTACAAGATCAAGTTCAAACTCCTCAGTGTACACATAAGGGCTTTCATGAACTTGTCTCTACCCCCTCCCCAACCTTTGCTTCTTAATACATCATTCCCTTCCAGCTTTGTTTTTTGTTTGTTGATCCCCAAACACAAGAGGCTGTTTTCACTCCTCCTTGTATTTGTTCCTACTCTTCCCTCTACTTAGAATACCCTTACCTGTGTTATCTAATTGGTCAACATTTTATATTTTAAAGCTATGTTTAAGCTTCACCTCCTTTACAAAGCCTTTCCTAACTCTCTACAAAGCCCACCCAACTCTGCCACCAGAGTGACCACTCTCTCACTTCCTATAACTTAGACTACAGTACCTAGAGAACTATCTTGCTGTTTGAAAAGAGCTCTCTATCCCTTCCTGACTTTAAGCTACTTGAGAGCAGGGAGTGTGTCTAATTCATCTCTGTAACCCTAGGCCCTAGTCCATGCCTGGCACACAGTAACAATAATTACTTATTGCTGAATGTTAAGTAGGTAGGTGAGGAGAAAAAGATTTTCAAAAATACACTTTTAAGGCAGAGAACGATCACGCTGTTCATAATAACAAGATATCCCGACTAGTTTCCACTGCAGTTTTATACAAACTTCATGTCCTCACGTGTTACAGTTGAGAGGCCATGTGTGTCTACCAGTCAAACCATACTGGTTTCTGGAGAAATTCCAGTTATACAAAACCATGATTTAATTACCTCACAACTTTTATTGACGACGTTTTTAAATAGTGAAGCAAACAAAATGCTGTGGCCAGAGCACTGTTTTGTTTTTTCTCAAGAGGAAATGGCCCCTTAATAAGTCAGCTGAGCATTGCCAAAGTAGGAAATACTATAACTCTGACATTTTCCATTTGGCTTCGTTCATTCATCAGCCAAAATTTATTACAAAGCACCAAGCAAAAGACCCAGGTCCATTCCTAAGTTCACAAGGTTGCAGTTTTAGGGAGGGATCTTTGTCTATTTTATTTCACTTCATTAATTCAACAAGATTTATTGACCACTTACCATGACTCAGGCCCCATACTAAGCAAATGTAATATAAAGATAAATGAGATGCAGGCCTAGACTTCCAAAATCTCAAAGTCTGGTGTGGGATACATGTGGAAACAATTACGATCTTAACAGGAAAATAACCAAAATAGAGGTACTTAGAAAGTGTTATGAGAACTCAAAGAAAGAGATAGATTATGTCAAGGAGGGAACATTCAGGGTAGGCTTCACAGAGGAAGAAACATGTAAACTGAGTTTTGAAGGACATAAGGCATTTGCCAGGGAGGAAAGGGAGAAAGGACATTATGGGAAGAAAGAAAAATATGTATGAAAGTTCAGCATTATGAAGACGTATAGCTAAAATGAGATGAGAAAACTGAAGCTTAGAGGATAAGTAACTTGTTCAAGGTCACACAGCTGATAACTGAGAGGACTGGGAGCTGAACCCAAGCTAAAATTATTTATGGGAGTATGCCATCTTTCTTAAGATGCTGAAGTAGAAAAAGGATTGAGAACCACTGCTTACAGCGCCTGGTATACAAGTTACAGGAATCCCTGGGTGGCACAGATGGTTAAGCACTGGACTACTAGTCAAAAGGTTGGTGGTTTGAACCCAAGCAGAGATGCCTTAGAAAACAGGCCTGGCAATCTGCTTCCAAAAGGTCACAGAACCCTATGGAGCAGTTCTACTCTGCACACGTTGGGACGCCAATGAGTCAAAATCAACTTGATGGCAACTAACAACAACAATAACATGCAGTTTAAACTACATTCAGTAGACAATGGGGAATCATTAGATTGTTAAGCAGAGAAGCAACATGGCTCCATATGCACTTTAGGAAAGTAATCCCAGCAGAGATTCTTAACCATGACTACAATTAGAATCACTTGGGAAGCTTTAAAAAATTACAGGCCAGGAAGTCACCCCAAGCCAATTAAACCAGAATTTCTCGGGGTGGACCCAGTTTTGTTTTGAAGCTCCTTAGGGGATTCTAATGTGTGGTTAAGGTCAAGAACTACAGCTCCAGGAGGACATACCGAAGCTTAGAGGATAAGTAACTTGTTCAAGGTCCCACAGCTGGTAACTGATAGGAGTTGAATAACTAGTATTTATTAAGCATCTACTATGTTTGAGATTTTGTTCCAAATGCTCTAAACAATATCTACAATGTATCATGGTTGTATGAATATAGATATCTAGTATACTGACCCACCTCAACCATTTCAAGCCCTGTGTGGTAAACCATTATGTTACTCCCAGCCTTCAAGGTAGATATTATAATCCCTAATTTACCAAGGAGGAAACCGAGGCACAGACCAGTGAAATAACCCACCTAAGACTATCAAATTATTAAGCGACACAAATGGATTCCATACCTAAGTCTTTCTGATGCCCAATCCCAGGCTCTTTCTATTACACACCACTGCCTATAAACCAAGGTTAATCCTCAGAACAATCTCGAAGTAGGTATCATCATTCTCATTTTACAAATAAGGAAATGAACCCGAGAGGTTAATGTGTCCAAGTAAAGAGGCTGTGAGGGATTTAAGGTGTGAAGAAACTAAACATAAAATGTGATAAACTAAATCATGTGGATCTCGCCCTAAAAAAAAATTGAATAGCTTCCCAGTGTGCTTAGATTAAAATCCAAATTCCTTGCCATGAACTTTTTGCAAAGTTCTATGAGATCTGGTTTCTGTTCGTCCCTCCAATTTCTCTGTACCACTCTTCCTCAATGGAACTTGACTCCAGTTACCCTGGCCTTCTTTCTATTCTCTCAATGTGCCAAACAACCCTTTTCTCTCCTTCAGGCACAGGTTTCCTCTATCTAGAACACTCTTCCCTAGATCTTTGAAAGGCTGTCTCCTTCTCAGTATTCAAGTCTTAGCTCAAATATCATTTCATCAGAGTGAATCTGACTAACCTACATTCAACAGACACTTTTCATTATCGGAGATTATTTTGTTAATTTATTAACTATTATCTTCTGTCCCCACTAGAATGTAAGCTTCCTGAGAAGGATCTTAGCTGTTGTTCACCAAAGTGTCCCTAAAAGTCCAGAAGAGTGGCCGACATAAGACAGTCTCTGTAAGTACTTTGGGAAAGAAAACATAAAAAAACGACTATCTCTAAGACGACAAAACTCGCGAGTCTCTCACCAAAGCCAGGCTCCGCCTCCCTGAACTACTTCCGTCACGACCTCGAGGGAGGCGGTCGGGTTCCTCTGCGCAGGCGCTTTTGGACGCGGGGCTTTCTGGGTAAAGATGGATGGGCACGATCTCTTTCGCCGGCTTGGCGCGGGGGCCAAATTCGACGTGAAGCGCTTCTCGTCAGACGCAGCCCGATTTCAGGTACTGTGCGCAGGGGTACGTAATGGTCTACAGGGCCGAGTAACCAGAAAGAGCAGGAGCCCGAGAATGAGCCGGCAGTTTGGGGAGCCGGTGCACCCGGAGACCCGGTGGCCTGTCTCTGACCATTCTTGGGGACTTTTCTCTCCTCTTGCGTTCATCTTACCGCGTACCAGTTCAAGTCCCGCTTTCTGAATGAACTCTTTTTCCGATTCTTCTGTAGATTTAGTTCGGTCTGGCAAGGAAATGCTCTTTTTTCCCCATCTTAGCTCATTCAAGGCAAAGTTGGAATCCTTCTGTTAAAGGGAACATTTTCTCCGAATTGGGTGGAAAGGAATTTTGAAAACAGAAACAACTAAAAATGAAGAGTACAGATTCTTTCACTGTAGACTATCCAGATTTGACTTGATATGCATATAGTTTTAGTGGACATGGTTCTTATTGTCCCAACCCCACGCGTGTTAAGTAACCAATGAGAAGAGTGGCTCAGAAGTAAGGGCTGTTACATAGGTAAGTGGTGAGTGATAAAAATCGGGAAAAGTCAGTTGGGGCCCGATTGTGAAAAACCTTGAATGTCAACATTTGCTATTGGGATTAAATAGTGTCAACAGTGGACAACGACGAAAAGGTTTTTGAGTGACATGTATGTTTCTTCTTTCTCTGACTGGCACTATAAAACCCAAAACCAAACCCGTTGCCTTTGAGTCGATTCCGACTCATCGCGACCGTATAGGACAGAACTGACCCATAAGGTTTCCAAGGAGCTGCTGGTGGATTCGAACTGCTGACTTTTTGATTAGCAGAGAAGCTCTTAACCACTACGCTACCAGGGCTCCGACTGGAAGTATAACAGGGTTAAACGTTTGAATTTTGCAGACTGATTATCTGGATCCAAATTCTAGGTCTGCCAATTAATTACTAGTTTGTAGACTTTGGTCGGGATACTTAATCTCTATACTTCAATTTTCTTATATGTAATAATGCTATTTGCTTCGTTGGGTTGTTGTAAGGATGAAATAATTTCATGTATAAACATGCTTGGAAATAAGCCTGACATAGTTACGAGTCGGAATCAACTCAACAGCAACGAGTTTTAGTTACATAAGTAACATACGTTATGATTATTATTTTACGAGGTCAGAAAAGATATCTTCTTGGATTCCATTTGCCCAAACACACTTATCAACTCAAATATTTGGTGAAGAGATTTTTTTTTTTAAAAAGGGAAGTCACTGGACTCATGTCTTTCTTACTGCCAATCTTGCTTGGATGAAAGCAATGCCATCTCTTAGGAGATTTCATTTTAAATTTTTTGGCTTTTAGCTAGGAAAAAGGAAACGTGACTTTAATTCTTCAGAGGTGCTTCAGGGACTGGACTTTTTTGGAAACAAGAAGTCTGTCCCAGGTAAGTATGGAGCATCCAGAACACATCAAGAACTCCAAGATGAAGAGAAACAAGAAGAAAAGCTAATTGAAAGGAAGAGGAAACAGAACAAGAAAAAGAGAAAGATGATGACTTCAGGTTAGTGCTTGGTTTCTGTTATGCTTTTTCTCTGTAATTTTTTTCAATTACAAAAGTAATACAAGCTTATGGCTACAGGCAGACAGTATGTCAGTTGATGGCATTCAAGTTGTTTCCAGGTGTTTGCCATTAAAAATACTGCTGCAGTAAACTTGTACACAAATGTTCATAGCAACTTTGTTTGTCATAGCCAAATGTCCTTCAGCAGGTGAATGGATAAACCGATGGTTATATACTCATGTAGTGGAATACTGCCTAGCAAAACATAAAAGGTTAAGAGCTGTTGATACAAGGAACAACACGGATGGATCTCAAAATAACTATGCCCAGTGAAAGAAGCCAGACCAAGACTATTACATATTATATGATTCCATTTATATCAAATTCCAGAAAAACCAAGCTAATCTACTGTGACAGAAAGCAGATCAGTGGTTGCCTAGGGACGGATTGATGGGTCACGTGTGGTAATGGTTTAATGGGTCACAACTCATTATATACTTTAAATACATGCAGTTTATTGTATATCAATTACACTTCACTGAGGTTGAAAAATAATTAAAAATAAATTCCAGTAGAGCTAGTCTTTGCTCGTTATTCTTCTTAGACTTTATTAGGTTATTTTCATAATTTGTTTTTCCTATAAACTTTAAAGTTAGAAACCCACTTACCAAAACAATCCTGTCACTACTTTTAATTGAACTGGTCCTGTTTATAGGAGAATCACTGTCTTTATAATATTGAGTATTCCTAAGTATTGCATTGCATTTGTTGCTGTTGTAAGTGAATTCTTTCATATTTATTTTCTAGCTGGTTGTTGTTTGGATACAGAAAAGCTGGCTACCTTGATTCTCTATTTAAATAGCCTTTCAGTTAACTCCCTTGTGGTTTCCAAGTGTACAGTCATATCATTTACATTATAAGGTAGCTGAAACAACCAAGAAAGGAAGATGAGCTTCAGAGCTCTGACTATAGCAACACGGAACTTGCCTCTCCTTTTCTAATTTTTATACTTCCTATTGCTTTTTCTTCTATTACCATCAGCTAGTACTTTTGTTTAGTGTGAAGGTAGTAACCTCTTTGCTGTACCCAAGAATATCACACTTAAAATCTTTTAATTTTTAAAAATTTATTTAGAAATTACATCTCCAGAAGAAGGAACTACTATACACTGGATGTCATCTGTGGAAGCAAAGATTGAAGATAAAAAAGTTAAAGGAGAAAATAAACTAACTTCAGGAAAGATGGAACAACTCAGAAAGGAAAAGGTTAGAAAAATGTCTTAAGCCCAAAAAGTATATGCTTTTTAGACCTAGTCACTTTTTCACTGGATATAGGTTATTCTGTTGATAAAAGTGAATATAGTTTGCTAAGGTGGAAGATTAATTACATTTGATTGGACATTATTTTAGTGGAAACTTGAAGCAAAGTAGATGTGGGCTGTGGCTGAACATTTTAAAGTTTGAAATTCTCAGATATAGTTGTGTATTTCTTGATGTGCTCGTTTCAAGATTGGTAGTGTGTTTAGAACTCAATTTTTTAAAAATTGTTTATCCTTGTGGAGTGCCAGATTTTGGCCTGGGGCTGTTCTCCTCAATCCACTTTTGATAAACATAAAATTTAGTCCCCTTTCTCTATGTTCAGTTCACTGGTCCTCTGACAGGGATTAGAGCGTTAGAATTCTTAAGAAACCTTTTTATAACTTGGGGAAAGGGTAAGTAGAATACAGAAGAAACAACAAGTATACTGTTGTCATTTATGCTGTTTACCTACATGTTGCTGATGGAGAAGTGTGTTCAGCTCACTTCAGAGATTATTATGGCAGTGCTTCAGTAACCCAGAATCCAGAATGTGGTCATCTCTAGACTAGAAAATGAGGAAACAAACCAGATCAATACCACTAGACTCCACTTCTGACACTCACTTTTAATATACAGTTGCATATTAATATACAGTTGTAAAGTTTTAGGGTCAGTCATCAAAAAGCATCTATACTTGCATGCTTAGTCTCATATGAAGAAAATAGATAGGTTCAATGCCTGTCTTCTGACAATTTATATAAGATTAAAATTATGAGTATGACACATTAATATGAATAACATCACTCATCGCTGAATACACATCTTCAGCAAAATTTTACTTGTGTGTGATATTAATGATACTGTTCGATAATTTCCATATTGTTTTGGATCACATTAATATCACACACGAGTAAAATTTTGCTGAAAATCATTCAAAAGCTGTTGCAGCAGTACATCGACGGGGAACTGCCAGTTCAAGCCAGATTCAGAAGAGGATGTGGAACGAGGGATATCATTGCTGATGCCAGATGGATCTTGGCTGAAAGCAGAGAATACCAGAAAGATGGTTACCTGTGTTTTATTAACTATGCAAAGGTATTCGACTGTGTGTATCATAACAAATTATGGATAACATTGCAAAGAATGGGAATTTCAGAACACTTAATTGTGCTCATGCAGAACCTGTACATAGACCAAGAAGCAGTTGTTCAAACAGAACAAGGGTATACTGTGTGGTTTAGAGTCAGGAAAGTTGTGTGTCAGGGTTGTATCCTTTCACCGTACTTACTCAGTCTGTATGCTGAGCAAATAATCCAGAAGCTGGAGTATATGAAGAAGAATATGGCATCAGGATTGGAGGAAGACTCATTAACAACCTGTGCTATTCAGATGACACAGCCTTGCTGGCTGAAAGTGAAGAGGACCTGAAGTGCTTACTTCAGTATGGATTGCACCTCAGCATAAAGAAAACAAAAATCCTCACAACTGGACCAGTAAAGCAACATCATGATAAATGGAGAAAAGATTGAAGTTGTCAAGGATTTCATTTTATTTGGATCCACAGTCAAGACCCATGGAAGCAGCAGTCAAGAAATCAAATGAAGTATTGCTTTGGGCAAATCTACTGCAAAAGACCTCCCTAAAGTGTTAAAAAGCAAAGATGTCACTTTGAGGACTAAGGTGTACCTGACCCAAGCCATGGTATTTTTAATCGCCTCATATACATGCAAAAACTGGACAATGAATAAGGAAGACCGAAGAAGAACTGATGTTTTGAATTATGGTACTGGCGAGGAATATTGAATATACCATGGACTGTCGGAAGAATGAACAAATCTGTCTTGGAAGAAGTACAGCCAGAATGCTCCTTAGAAGCGAGGATGGCGAGACTTTGTCTCACATACTTTGGACATGTTATCAGGAGGGACCAGTCCCTGGAGAAGGACATCATGCTTGGTAGAGTACAGGGTCAGCAAAAAAGAGGAGGACCCTCAAAAAGATGGATTGACACGGTGGCTGCAACATTGGGCTCAAGCATAACAATGATTGTGAGGATGGCGCAGGACTGGGCAGTGTTTCATTCTGTTGTACATAGGGTCAGTAAGAGTTGAAACTGACTAAATGGCACCTGAAAACAACAACATGGCCGAAACTGTTGGCCATCAAGTCAGTTCTGACTCATTATTAGGTGCCATCCTCACAATTGTTACTATGCTTGAGCCCATCTCGATGAGGGTCTTCCTCTTTTTCGCTGACCCTCTACTTTACCAAGCGTGATGTCCTTCTCCGGGGACTGGTCCCTCCTGATGACATGTCCAAAGTACATGAGACGTGTACTACTGTTTCATGAGAAACTATTTGTTCTGTCAGCCTTCACCTGAAGTACAATAAAATAAAAAAAAAAAAAAAAAAAAAAGTACATGAGACGAAGTCTTGCCGTCCTCGCTTCCAAGGAACACTCTGGCTGTATTTCTTCCAAGACAGACTTGTTCGTTCTTCTGGCAGTCCGTGGCGTATTCAGTATCCTTCACCAACACCATAATTCAAAGGCATCGCCCAACTTATAGCAAGCTTATAGGACTGAGTTGAACTGCTCCATAGAGGTTGCAAGGCTGTAAATCTTTACGGAAGCAGAGTACCACATCTGTTTCCTGTGGAGCCGCTGGTGGGTCTGAACCACTGACCTTTCAGGTAGCAGCCGAATGCTTAACCACTGTGCTACCAGCACTCCTTTTTTACTCATGTCATTGACACTTTAATATGAAGAAAGTGTGGATAGATAGATTTCATTGTTATGAAAGTCTTCTGTCTATGAAACAGCATAATTAATATCTGTAATTTTTTATGGAAGATTAAAGGAATCTTTCTTAAAAAAGGGAAAGGTTAATAATATCTGTAATCTTTTAGGACTTGGAATTTAACCAAAAATTTCCATATGCTACTGAGTTTATCCCAGAAACTATTATTATTACTTGATAACATCCGACAATGTGTTTGGCTGATATCCACGGTGGCCCCTTTGCTTCACTTTTCAGATAAACTTCTTCCGGAATAAACACAAAATTCATGTCCAAGGAACTGATCTTCCTGACCCAATTGCCACATTTCAGCAACTTGACCAGGAATATAAAATCAATTCTCGACTGCTTCAGAATATTCTAGACTCAGGCTTCCAGGTGCCTACGGCAATCCAAATGCAGGCCATTCCAGTTATGCTGCATGTGAGTATGCAGGTCTAGAATGCCTCTAACATTCCTTTCTCTGTGTTTGCTCACTCTCTTCCCTCTCTCCTTGAAATTCTGTTTCTACATAATCTCCCTTGTTGAAATCTTTCACTTGCTTTTAAGGCCCATCTCAAATGCTCGTGCCTATATGTCTTAGTTATCTAGTGCTGCTGTAACAGAAATACCACAGGTGGATAGCTTTAACAAACAGAAATTTTCTCATGGTTTAGGAGGCTGGAAGTCCAAATTCGGTGCCATCTCTATCTAGGTGAAGGCTTCCTCTCTCTCTTGGCTCTGGAGGAAGGTCCTCGTCTCTTCTGAGCTTCTACTGCTGGGCAATTCGCATGAGCTTGGCAGCCTCCCCTCTCCTCCCTGCTAGTTTGCATTTAATCTCTTTTATATCTCAAGAGAGACTGACTCAAGATACACTCTACACTAATCCTGCTAATTAACATAACAAAGACAGCCCACTCCCAAATGGGATTATAACTATGAGCAGAGAGGTTGGGGTTTACAGCAACATTTTTGGGGGACACAATTCAATCCATAACACTTTATAAAACTTGTCTTGATCCCTACAACTAGATACGATCTTTTCCCTTTTACTAACACCTTTCCCCTGAACCCCTTATTCTCCATGGTATTTAGTGTTGGTTTTTTTTTCCCTTGATGTTTATCTTACACTTTAAATTACCATGTATTTGCACCAATTATGTTTGTCTTTTTCATTTTACTAAAGTGCAAACTGTCTGAGAATGGGGACTATGTTCTGCTTATTCACTTTGGATTTAGCTTATAATGAATACCCAGGAACTGTTTCAGAAATAGAGATTTTTTCTAAAATTTTCGTACATACCTGATTTAGGTTTTTTCCCAATATTTTTTATTATTGAAATACAGTTTACATCCAATACAATGCATAGGTTTTAAGTGCACAGTTCAGTGAGTTTCAATAATGTAATCGGCACCCAAGTGAAGATATATAACATTCCTATGATTCCAGAAAATTCTCTTGGGACCCTTTTCGTTTAGTTCTCACCTCACCCAAAGAGGTGCCCAGAGACAACCACTGTTGTGATTTCTGTCACCAAATATTAGTTTTGCTGCTTCTAGAATTTCATGGACTTTTAAATGGAATCATACATTATTCACTCTTTTGTTTCTCTCTTCTTTTGCTCTGCATGTTTTTGAGGTTCGTCCATGTTGCATATATTAGTAGTTTTCTACTTTTTAATTGCTGAAACTTTTCCATTATAAGAATATATCACAATTTGTTTATCCATTAACCTACTGATGGATATATGGGTTAACTTAGATTTTTGGAAATTAATTTTTTTAAAGAGAAACTTGGTAGGAATGAGAAGTTTTTCTCCCACATAACCGAGATGGTCTTGAGTTCTGATAGCCAAAGGATATGAGATACCTTTTCATCCATACTAGTCTTTTATTGTGTGTGTGTGCTTTAGGTGAAGGTTTAAAGAGCAAATTAGTTTCCCATTCACTAGTTTATACACAAATTGTTCCATGACGTTGGTTGCAACCCCCACAGTGTGTCAGCACTCTCCCCTTTTATCACCCTGAGGTCCCCATTTCTATGTGTCCAGTTTTCCTGCCCCTTCCTTCCTTCCCACCTTTGCTTTTAGGTATGCATTGCCTTTTGGTCTCATGGAGATGATTGTTCTAAGGGGCGCTTTTCTCAGGTGTTATTGTTTTTTTATAGGCCTGTCTATTATTTAGCTGAAAGGTGATCTCTGGGAATGGCTTCAGTTCCAAGTTAGAAGAATGTCTAAGGGCCATATTAGTCCTTTTCATTCTTCAGGAACTGAAACAAGAATACATTTGTATATTTGAATGATGTTGTTGACTCACAGTATAGTAAGTTTGCTTTTAATTTGCATTTAAGATTGTTTCTGTCCTGACTTTAGCTTAAAGCTTTAAAAATCTCAGTGACTAGAGAAGGGAGGGTGTTGACATGTTGTGGGTTTGTTAACCAATGTCATAAAACAAAATGCATACTAACTGTGTAATGAGAAACTGTTTGTTCTGTAAACCTTCACCACAATTAAAAAAAAAAAACTCAGTGACTATTTGTAGATTGTCACTTTATAAATGAGTCTGTCGTAGCCACTTTTGTGTATGTGTGTGTGTGTTGAGGGGGTAGATATGTATCTAACAAAACATTTGCCATTTCGACATAACTTCATGTGTACAGTTCAGTGACATTAATTATGTTCATGTTGTTCAGTCATCACCTGTTCCCAAGTTTTTCCATTGCCCTTAACAGAAGCTCTGTGTCCCCTACTCAATGACCCCCTCTTTCCCCCTCCTCTCGCCTGCTTTTGGTAACCAGTAATAAACTTTTGTCTGTATACACTTGCCTATTCTAGGCATTTCATATAAGTAGGATTATATAATATTTGTCCTTTTGTGACTTTCACTCAGTGCGATATTTTCAAGGTTCATCCATGTTGTAGCATGTATCAGGACACAGCCACTTTTTCTGTCTTACTTTTAGCCATTCTATATTAAAACCTTTCCTAGGGATTGAGCAGTACAAATATTAGGACAAAAAGTCGATTTTGTAATTTTGCTTTGATGAGAGTTTAGTGGGAGAGACAAATTAAAATGAATGTGTATACAGCTGGACTAAACCAAAGTTAAGAAGTTTCCTGAATACAGTCAAACACTTTGAGGGACAGAGTAGCAGGGGAGGGGCCTGGGGACCATGCTTTCAGCGGATATCTAGGTCAATTGGCATAACAAAGCTTATTAAGAAAACGTTCTGCATCCTACTTTGGTGAGTGGCATCTGGGGTCTTAAAAGCTTGCAAGCAGTCATCTAAGATGCATCAATTGGTCCCAACCACCTGGGGTAAAGGAGAATGAAGAACACCAAAGACACAAGGAAAGTATTAGCCCAAGAGACATAAAGGACCACATAAACCAGAGACTTCATCAGCCTGAGACCAGAAGAACTAGATGGTGCCCGGATACCACCAATGATCGCCCTGACAGGGAACAACAGAGAGTCCCTGATGGAGCAGGAGAAAGGTGGGGTGCAGAACTCAAATTCTAGTAAGAAGACCAGACTTAATGGTCTGACTGAGACTGGAGGAACCCCGGAAAGCATGGCCCCTGGATTCTCTGTCAGCCCAGAACTAAAACAATTTCCAAGGCCAACTCTTCAGACAGGGATTGGACTGGACTGTGGGACATAAAGTGATACTCGTGAGGAGTGTGCCTCTTAGGTAGATACAAGAGACTAAACGGGTGGCTTCTGTCCAGAGGTGAGATGGGAAGGCAGAGAGGGTTAGGAGCTGGTTGAATGGACATGGGGAATCGGGTGGAAAGGAGGAGTGTGCTGTCACAGTATGGGGAGAACAATTAGGGTCATATAACAATGTATGTATAAATTTTTGTATGGGAAAAAAAATGAATGTATACAGTAGAATTTGTGTATAGTCTTTGGATTTCAGTTATCTATGTTCTTTACCCAGTTTAGGTAGTACAAACGGACTTAAGTGTCAGTACCCAGAAACTTCTTGGGGTGGTGGTGGCAGGGGTGGGAGATGTTAGAAAAGCTGTTGTGGGATAAGTTAAAAAAGCAGACGGGGACTTGAATGATTGGATTCATTATAATTTTGTTATTTCTGTGGCTGGTAGCATTATTTAACTAGGCTCTGAAACATTTAAGCACTTTTCCTCATACTTAGTGTACTGTATGCTTTTAGGGTCGTGAACTTCTGGCTTCTGCTCCTACTGGATCTGGAAAGACTCTGGCTTTTAGCATTCCCATTTTAATGCAGCTGAAACAACCTACAAATAAAGGCTTCAGGGCCCTGATAATATCACCAACACGAGAACTTGCCAGCCAGGTACAACTTGTAGCTTTTGAAGAGAATGTGTTTGGTGTTTGATTCAGTGATCTTTCGAATAAAAAGGTCTCAAATGAGCAGGGTTTGTATCTCTGGCATGATCAAATATTCTGTACAGAGCATACTACTGCTCTGTATATTTTATTGCATATGGGCAAGTCTCTTAAGCCTTTCTGTAATTTTCTAAAAGATGATGATTTTAACATTTAGAGTTCTTGGTAACTGCTTTAAGATCCTTAAAGTTGAAAGGCTACTGTAAAATATATGGTCCCTATCTAAAATTTATTTTTCTCCCCTAGAAAGATGAAACCTCAGTTTTTGAGAAAGTAAAACTACATAGTGATTTCCTCCACCCTCCCAGTATGCTTGAGTAATACAAAATATATGCCAAGAAGTGTGATATAGTTTTGTAATTTTGCTGTATTCTAACATGAATATATAATAGATTAGAAAAATGTTGGTTTTGTCTCTTGGAACTAGTTTACTAGGCTGAAAGAAACTACTGAATCTTACTAGGCATTGAAGTTTTGAAAAGCTGAGATTCCAGGTTAATCTACAGAATACTGCAGGTTTAATTTCAGATATTCATGGGTCAGTAATTAGTTTTGTTAATAATGCAAAAAGACTGCAGATCTTATCCAAGTATCTTAGCAGCTAATGCTTATTATTATTTTCTGTTTTAGATTCACCGAGAGTTATTAAAAATCTCTGAGGGCACAGGATTCAGGATACACCTGATTCATAAAGCAGCAGTGGCAGCCAAAAAATTTGGACCTAAATCATCTAAGAGGTTTGGTAAGGGATTCATTCTTGGACATGTAAAGGGATTTGGAAATTACAAGTATCCTAACAGCCAACTAAGAATTGTTAAGTGTAGTCCTGTAGATAATTGGTTTGATTTTTCGAGAAGCTGAAAGAGACTCCCTCCCCCTTCCTCTCCTACCCAGTAACTCTATAAATATAGACTAGTGGTTTCTTTTTGTTTTTTGTGCTTTAGGTGAAAGTTTACAGAGCAAATTAGTTTCTCATTCAAAAATAGATACATAGATTGTTTCGAGACATTGATTGCAATCCCCGCATTGTGTCAGCACTCTCCCCCTTTCCCTTTCCACCCCGGGTTCCCCGGTTCCATTCATCCAGTTTTCCTGTCCCTTCCTGCCTTCTCGGCTTTGGTTTTGGGCAGATGTTGCCCATTTGGTTTCATATACTTGATTGAGCTAAGAAGCATGTTCCTCACGTGTGTTACTGTTTGTTTTATAGGCCTACCTAGTCAGAAAGGTGAACTTCAGGAGTGGCTTCAGCCCTGAGTTAGCAGGGTGTCTGGGGGCCATAGTCTCAGGTGTTCTTGGCCAGTCTCTGTCAGACCAGTAAGTCTGGTCTTTCTTGTGAATTTGATCTTTTGTTCTACATTTTTCTCCCACTCTTTCCGGGACCCTATGTTATAATCCCAGTCAGAGCTGTTGCTATTGGTAGCTGGGCACCATCTAGTTCTTCTGGTCTCGGGGTTGTTTAGGCTGTGGTTCATGTGGTCTTGTAGTCTTTTGGACTAATCGCTCCCTTGAGTCTTTAGTTTTTTTCACTCTCCTTTGCTCTGGACTAGAAGAGACTGATAGTTGTATCTTAGATGGCCACTTGCAAGCTTTTAAAACCCTTGATGTTATTCACCAAAGTAGGATGTAGAACATTGTCTTTAAGAACTATGTTGTGCCAGTTGATGTAGATGTCCCCCGAGTCTATGGTCCTTTGCCTTCGAGCCTGGGAACTTAATCCCACGAGGTGTTTAGTTATGTCTAAGAAGTTTCCCTGACTGCCACTTGTGTGCTCTGTTGTCTGCACTAATATATGAGGAGCATCTATGATCATGTATTTAGGAATTTCCACCACCAAACCTGTATCTGCTGGTAGGTGTGCACCTTTACCCTCTCCCTCACCTCTTGGCATATCTATCTCTCTCTGTGTATCCATTTGTAGATTATTCTTTGTTAATACTGTTGTTGCAGGATTGTCTATGCTATAGTAGTTACCATGGTTGTCCTTTATTCCTGTATTCCAGAGGCATCTTTGGCTTCCTTGCCGCCCTGGAGACATTTGGCAATATCTGGAAACATTTTAAATTGTCACTGGAGAAGAAAGCTAATCGCATACACTGAGTAGAGGCTAGAGATGCTGTTAAACATCCTGCAATGCACAAGACAGCCCACCACAAAAGAGAGTTATTTTGCCCAAAATGACAATAGTGCTGAAGTTGAGAAGCCCTGCTTTATACCAGTGATTTTAAAGTTGCCCTGTGGAACCCTAGGAAATATTCTGCCAAAGGATGGCTTACATCCCCACCCTTACATCATCCAGAGAATGTGCTTTTACCTGTCTTTTATTTTGAACTTCTAAGTAAAACTTCATTTAAAGAAAGGGTTTTCCTGCCCCCCCCCCGCCAAAAAAAAAATTTAAAAAACTGTTGGCTTATAATGTTCTTGCTCCTTAGAAGTTGAGAAGGGCTATAGCAGTTTTTGCTATAATGAATTAAAAAGATACGTATATTAACTTGGATCCCTGGTGGCATAGTGGTTAAGAGTTTGGCTGCTAACCCAAAGGTCGGCAGTTTGAATCCACCAGCCACTCCTTGGAAATCCTATGGGGCAGGTCTACTCTGTCGTATAGGGTCACTATGAGTCAGAATTGACTTGACAGCAGCGGGTTTGGTTTTGTTGGTTTGGTATATTAGCTTACTAATAAGGAAGAATTTTGTTGTTGGCTAGTGAGTAGAACCACTCCCTCCCCTCCCCACCTCAAGTTATTAACTGAAATTCAAGGAGGATGAAGTCCTGAGGTCGAGAGGCCTGATGCTTGTTTTTATGATTTTTACCATTTATTTTTCCTATAGATGTTCTTGTGACTACTCCAAATCGACTGATTTATTTATTAAAGCAGGATCCTCCAGGAATAGACCTAACAAGGTACAGATAATATTTTCATGTCCTTTATGTGTGTTTTTCATTTGATTATATATTTGGTCCTCAATTGCTTGTATTATTATCTTTTGGAGCTTTCTATATGCCAACTTTTAGTCAGCGTTGGTGCTCAGAATGATAGTTTTCATTAAATCCATAGAAAAATAACTAGTCTGAAGAAGGAGCCCTGGTGATGAGTGGTGAAGCATTTGGCTGCTAACCAAAGGTTGGCAGTTCGAATCCACCGGCTGCTCCTTGGAAACCCTGTGGGGCACTTACGCTCTTTCCTGTAGGGGTCACTATGAGTCAGAATCGACTCAACGGCAACAGGTTTGGTTTTGGTCTGAAGAAGGTTACATATTTTTATAAGCAGTTACTGCAGAATTCTCTAGACCTTTTTACATCTCAGTAATGGCAGTGGAGTTCATTAGGTTTATGTGAATCTCTTTTATTGCTGATTGGAACCTCGTATCTTTGAGGTTTACCTTTCTCCTGCTTATTTTTCTTGTACTTCTTTCTGTTATGATAAAACAGATCTGAGAGCAGCATCATGGTCTGACTTCCTCACATGTTCCCATAGTTTAATGACGTTTCTTGGATCTTCCAGTTCAATATCCACAAGTTGTTCTGTTATTTCTTAGTGTTGAGTGGCTCATAGTAGATGAATCCGACAAACTGTTTGAAGATGGTAAAACTGGGTTCAGAGACCAGCTGGCTTCCATTTTCTTGGCCTGCACATCCCATAAGGTCAGAAGAGCTATGTTCAGTGCAACTTTTGCATACGATGTTGAACAGTGGTGCAAACTCAACCTGGACAATGTCATTACTGTATCCATTGGAGCAAGGTAATTCTTCTTCCACGTTATCCCACTGCTTTTTTCTTTAAATACAAGTCAGTTTCTTAGACTCAAGGTGATAGTTATTTGGCCTGAGATTAAGGGAGAGAATTTTACTGATAGAATTGTATTCTTTTAAGTCAAGATTGATTAGGGATTTTGTTTTAAAATAATCCTAAGGGAGTTCTCAAAGTATCATATTAGTATTCCTGTCATCATACTTTTAGATGGTCTCTCCTACCCACAGAGTATGACGTGAGCCTTGTGGCCATCCAGAGGAGTTAGCTTCTTGATGCCTCAACTAGGACCACAGAGAAGGGAGCTGATATTACTGATTACTTGGTTTATGATTCTTTTGAAAAATTATTTTGGGGAGCATTTTATGCTAAATGAATACTCAATGGTAGAGAAGTGGTTAAGGAAATTATGATGTAGCATATTATGCAACCCATGAAGTGATAAACATGAAGGTTACAGCTATGAAAAAGTACTTGTAATACCATGTTAAGTTACAAAGAAGCCAACGGGGATGGTAAAGGATGCCCTTATCTACTTAAAACTCCTTTGTATAAAAAGAAGGCATAAAAAACTCATCAGAAACATTATTTAAAGGCAGACAACAGAATGTGAAAAATATTTGCAACAGCATAGTATACTGCAGCATCCTATAGAGCATTAGTAAAGTCTTAATGTACCTCATCCCCAGTTGTCTATAAATTAACTTTTGCTAGTCATTAAGTTTAGCTGTATGTAACCTTAAAAATGTTCTCATTACTTTACCCAATAATTTTACCTTTAGAAATTTTTTGTAAGTAATTAGAAACACATGAATATTTATGACTGGGATATACCAAAATGTCAAACTTTATTCTAAAATGGTGAGATTATGGACAATTTATTTTATTCTTTATATGTTTCTATACTTTTCAGATTTTCTACAGGCGACATTTTACTTTTATAATTAAAATATTTAAAACTAACAATTTTGTCTTCAAGTTAAAGTATAAATAATTAAATACTTATATTGACAGTGGGAAAATTGATTTTGTTGAGGTTGTATGTACATTTTAATTTATTTAGAGTTCGGGGGAGAAAAGGAAAAATTGGCTCTTGCAAACTAAGATATGTTTTGTTTTCAGGAATTCTGCAGTAGAGACTGTAGAACAAGAACTTCTCTTTGTTGGGTCTGAGACTGGAAAACTTCTGGCCATGAGAGAACTTGTTAAAAAGGTATATCTGGTGACAAAGTGACAAAAGGTCACTAAGCCTTATATCACTGGTAGGAGGCTGAGCACTATTCCTGTATCATATTTAGTAATCCAGTGTTAAATTGTTAAGAAGCACATTGGAACTCTTGTCCCAAGGAGGAGAGGCTCACCTCTCAGAATATGGTTAATGTCCAGGTAAGCTACGAAAAGAACTCCCTGATGCCCTGAAAGCCTCATTTTTCTACATCTGCCTATGTATCTGCCCTGTAAGTCCCCCATCCTGCCTCTGATTTCTTATAGAGGAACTGAAGCATTATAAAATGAGTGCTCTGAGTGGGGCTTTCTGTTTTTATCCCTTCAGTAAGTATTGAGCAGAAAAACCAAACCCACTGCCATCGAGTCAATTCCAACTCATAGCAACCTTAGTCATAGTTAAATAGTTAAGTACTGAGGGTGAGGGGGAGTAATAAGAGAAATATAAATCCTAAGCCTTTCCCCTTGAACTTAATCTTATTTATGAGGTAAAATAAATAAACTTGTGTAAGATAGTTTATGATAAAGCACCTTAAAAGGCTATAGAGTTTTTTCTTAAGCATCCATGTGGTCGTAATGCAGACAGGGTGAGCTGAACTGGTTGGGGAAAGCCTTATGGAGAAAGTGCTATAATCTAAGCCTTAAAGGGTTTGTAGGACCAAAAAGTGGAGAGGAAAAGTATTGAAGAGTAGCAGCTTAAGTCTAAGAGGTGGAAGGGAACATGATGTATTTGGAGACTGATGAAGAGATTACTTGGGAAAAGAGTGTATGGTGGGGAATTAAAGATGATCGAGGTTTGGGTCAAGTTAAGAGAGACGGACATTTTTTTTCCTTTCCATTTTATATATTTTGTTGTTGTTGAGTACATAGCAAAACATACACTAAAACAGTTTCTGCATGTACCATTTAGTGACATTGATTACATTCTTTGAGTTATGCAACTATTTTCACCCCCCTTTTCTGAGTTGTTCCTCCCTCATTAACGTAAACTCACTGCCCCCAAGGTTCCCATCTTGTCTTTCAGGTTGCTGTTAATTTGATCCCATATAGATAGCTCTTAAAAGAGCATAATGCTCAAAGCAGATCTTTTTTATTTGTTAAGCTAATGTTTGGTTTTAAGATGACTTCAGGAGATATTTTTGGTTCAAGGTTCAAAGATTATTTGAGGGAAATAGTTTAAGGGGTTCATCCACCTACCATGGCTCCAGACAGTCTAGAGTCCATGAGAATTTGAAATTCTGTTCCGTATTTTCCCCCTTTTGATCAGGATTCCTCTATAGAATCTTTGATCAAAATGTTCACTACTGGACAGTTTTTGAGGAACATGGCCACATAATTTTTAAGGAAAATTAGTTAAGTAATGGTATGTAGGATGAATTGTAATGGAAAGAGACTGGAAGCAAGGACACCAATTAGTGAGCTGTTAAAGGCAGAGATGCGAGCCCTGGTGGCGCAGTGGTTAAGCGTTTGGCTGCTAACCAAAACGTTGACAGTTCGAATCCACCAGCTGCCCCTTGGAAGCCCTATGGGGCGGTTCTACTCTGTCCTGTAGGGCCGCTGTGAGTTGGAATCGACTCGACAGTGATGGGTTTGGTTTGGTTTGGTTTGGTTTTGGGCACAGATGAGAAGAAGTAAAGAAGGGTGACAGCCTTGGTGAGGGAGCAGGATAAATAGTTGGAGAATGAAACGTGAGGTGTCTACAAGTATCTGATGATTACAGAAGCAGTAAGCTTTAGCTGTTAAGAGCGTGGACTGTGGAGCCAGACTGCCTGGATTGGAATTCTAGCTCCACCACTTACTGTGTGATTTTGGGGAACTACTAAACCTCTCTGTTCTACAGTTCCCTCACCTGTAAAATTAGGATAATAATACTATCTACCTCATAGGATTGTTTTAGTATTAATAAATGAGTCAATAAAAATATAGTACCAACAATAAATAGTGCCTGGCACATAGTAAATGCTATACAAGTGTTAGTTTTATTAATATTCTTAAGGTTTGGCACTATGAAATTTAACATTTTCACAGATACTCACATGGAAATGTATACACCTGGGATTATTTTTAGCCTTGTATGAGCTTTAGGAAGGCGCCCTGGTGGTGCAGTGGTTGGTTAAGCACTTAGCTAGTAACTGAAAGGTCAGTGGTTTGAACCCACCAGCTGCTCCACAGGAGGAAGATGTGACAGTCTGCCTCCATAAAAATTTACAACTTTAGAAACCCTATGGGGCACTTCTGCTCTGTCCTGTGGGGTCACTATAAGTCGGAATTGACTTGACAGCAACAGGTTGGTTTGGTATGAGCTTTAGGTCTGTGAACCCTCTGAAATTATATCTAAGGTTTTGTGTGAACATGTGGTTGTCTTATTAGAAAGCTTCTAGCTGCCATCAGATTCTGAAAAGGGTATGTGAACCAATATAAAAAGGTTAAGAAGTCCTCACATGGATAGTTGAAAATTTAAAAAGCTGGTTTGAGTGAGAGGTGGGCTTTGATGATTTAAATGTAAAAATCATTTGCTTAGAGCTGGTAGTTAAGATTTTATTTAACTCAGTATGATAAAAATTATATAAGAGAACTAAGAACCAAGAACTAAGCTTTGGGGAATACCACAATTAGGAGAAAGAGAAGAAAGAAGTCAGCAGTTATTACATTAAGCAGAACAAAAAAGTTCTGGGGCACAGAAGCCAAGGTATAAGGAGTGGACATTCATTATTACTGTAGAAAGTTGAAGAGGAATTAATTAAACAAGATTATTGGGATTAGCAAAATGGAGACTACAGTTCATGTTGACTGATGAGAACAAATAGCCATTGTAGAGAATGGCTGAGGAAGTTGGAGGGAGATTGAGACTACTAGTTCAAGAAATTTGGCAGTGAAAAATACACTAAACTGAATTAGCTTCTTTCATGAACTAAAATTATATTATGAAATACTGAGCAATTGTAGTCTTGGTTTTGGGTTATGTGTGCTGATTTTTGCCTTCTTTCTTTTAGGGTTTCAACCCACCTGTTCTTGTTTTTGTGCAGTCCATTGAAAGGGCTAAAGAACTTTTTCATGAGCTCATATATGAAGGTATTAATGTGGACGTTATTCATGCAGAGAGAACACAGCTACAGGTAAAGTCAAATATGTGCTTTTAAAATCATGAAGAACTACTAAATTTAAAAATATTGACATAAAATTTATGAATTACTTGCTTCCCATTCCTAGAATGGTACTAAAACATTTAATATATGTTCTGTTAACTAGAGAGATAACACCGTGCACAGCTTCAGAGCAGGGAAGATCTGGGTTCTTATTTGTACAGCCTTGCTGGCAAGAGGGATTGATTTTAAAGGTGTGAACTTGGTGATTAACTATGACTTTCCAACCAGCTCAGTGGAATATATCCACAGGATAGGTGAGTTGTCTTTTATTTTCCTTTTGCCATCCACCCATCTATCTTAGCATCTCTTCTATTAACTTCAAACTTGCTCATTTTTTTAGTGCTGTGAAAATGTAGTGACTTTTATGTGTCCATTTAGAGGATCCTTTCCCCCAAAAATGTTTTTTTATGGTCTGATTTCTTTTAGGTCGAACTGGAAGAGCAGGGCATAAAGGAAAAGCTGTTACATTTTTCACTGAAGATGATAAACCATTATTAAGAAGGTAAATTAGGAAAAATAGCTTGGAATTAAGTTGGCAGAATTGTTCATTATTCTTAAATGTGTACTAACAGATAATTTCATCAATTCCAAAATGGCTGTGTCCCAAATTCTGTTATAGTATTGGTCAACCAACTCTTAGCCATGAGAAAAGGGAAACTGATCAAAGGGCCTTGTTTTTGGCCTTCCATAATTAAAATTTGGAAATATTCATAATGGAATGTTCATTATTAAGTTTCAAACTCAAATGGTTCTCCCGATAGCCATCATTTGATATTACTCGTAGTGTAATATTAAGGTTTTTGAATTAGTACGTAAGTTTAATATTAACTGCCTGGGTATATTTAGCTCTGTTAACATTATCTTTTTTTAAATTTTTATTATTGTACTTTAGATGAAGGTTTACAGAACAAACTAGCTTCTCATTAAACAGTACACATATTGTTTTGTGACATCAGTTACCAACCCTGCAACATGTCAACACTCTCCCTTCTCAACCTTGGGTTCCGTTACCAGCTTTCCTGTCCCCTCCTGCCTTCTAGTCCTTGTCCCTGGACTGTTGTGCCCCTTTAGTCTCGTTTTGTTTTATGGGCCTGTCTAATCTTTGGCTGAAGGGTGAACCTTGGGAGTGACTTCATTACTGAGCTAAAAGGGTGTCTGGGGGCCATACTCTGGAGTTTCTCCAGTCTCTGTCAAGCCAGTATGTCTGGTCTTTTTTTGTGAGTTAGAATTTTGTTCTACATTTTTCTCCAGCTCTGTCCAGGACCCTCTATTGTGATCCCTGTCAGAGCAGTCAGTGGTGGTAGCCTGGTCAACATTATCTTAACATGGTGCATGCTTCCCATTCTCTCAGTAATCCAATGCGGTCACATCTGGAGATAATTGATAATTTATCAGAACACTTTACCTTTTGGGGGATTTTAGTTTCTCTTATATTGTACAGAGGGTTTAAGTACATAAATATCAGCTTGACATGATACAAATTTTATGTTTTGGGGGTTCTTTTTCAGTATTGCCAATGTTATACAGCAAGCTGGATGTCCTGTACCAGAATACATAAAAGGTTTCAAAAAACTACTAAGGTACAACCTTGAATCTACCTGGAGCTGCTCTTTCTCTGCATGTACATTCTTGCTTCCACATTTCCTCTCACACATTGTAGTTTTAACAATCATACTACTTTTAGAGCATTTTAAGATAAAAAAACTTTGCTTTTAAGCATTTGTGAGCACTATATGTTCTGTTAGTTTTTTTTCATCTTTGAAATTTCAAATGTTCTGATTTTTTTAAGAAATTATTCAGTGTGCTTAAAATGTGCTTACAATTTATTTTAGTTCGTAAATATAATGGTAAAAAGCAGTTAATTGGCCAGAATCAAACTCTAATGCTTGTTGACATAGGACATAAAGTTGACACAGGCTGTATTTTAATCAGAATTAGTGTAGAGTCTTTTAGATTTTTTGTTTTTAATTGATTGAATTTATCATCCCTTTGGATTAGCTCTAAATGCTAATAGGTAATCTGTTAATATGGATACAGCCCCTGCTTTAAACCAATAAGTGCTTTAAAAAAATGAATTTTATGATCAAGAATCAAAACTAGTTTTAGTGTTAGCTCTTCTAAATTGTTGCACTTAATTCTTCCCTCTCTTACTTTCAGCAAACAAAAGAAAAAAATGATTAAGAAACCATTGGAAAGGGAGAGTATTAGCACAACTCCAAAATATTTCTTAGAAAAAGCTAAGGATAAACGGTAAGTACATGGTGAGAAGTAGCTGCTGTTTGACTCCATCATATAGTTATGGTAAGCATTATTTTTCCTTAGGGTAAATTTTTAGAAGTGGAATTGATAGGTCTGCAGTTCCTTATATAATGTGATAAAAGTAATATATCTCAGATTGCCTGTGATTTAGGAACTTGGATGATTCAATCTTGGAATTTTTCTGTATCTGAATATTAATAATCTATTTTTTCCATCTTTAAAAATATGATTTCACTTTACTGTCAGGTAGAATTGATAGTGCCCACCATCTTCACACAGCCTGCATCAGGGTATACCTCTGAGGCCAGTAGTTACAACTGTTGACTTAAATTGATTGTTTTTGAAGCTCCATATTCTGGGTAGGATTTCAGGATGATTTTAGTCTTATGCTGAAGAATGTTGTAACACCTCTAAAGAGTATTACTTGGGTAACTTTGTTGTAGCTTAACTGAATCGTATTAGGGTTTTAAAACGTAGATTTTTAGCATGCACACAGGACTACCTTTTTACCCATTACTGCTAGGAAGTAGGTTAGTTAAGAGTAGGTTTACGTATTCTGAACAGCTCTATTCTTTTCACTATTTAATGAAAATGGCACTGTTCAAATTATACCAGTACCTGGTAATACATGCTCTGATAGAATTGCTTGATTATAATAATTTCTTTGGCGTGTGCGTGTGTGTTTTTTCCCCCGAGAGTACCGTCGGTGACCTAGGATACTACAGTTATAAAATATGGTTAATGCTTTCTTTCTGTTACCTTATATCTGTTATGTGGAAGTCATTAGAAAAACTGTTCTCATCAACAAGTAGGTATCTACTGAATACCTATTATCTTGCCAGGTACTTGGTGGTGGTAGGAAATACCAAAAAAGGATAAAATGAGACTCCTTCTGTCAAGTTATGGAAAGGATACTAGTATACATCAAATAGAAAACAAATTTTAAATAAAAGTTTAGAGAAGGAAAAGATCAGTATGCTTTGGTGTAGTTACAGGTTTCAAGGAGATAGAACTTGAACCTAAGTCTTACAGGGTTAGGGAAGATTCAGGCATGCAAAGGGACCAAGGTGAACAAAGGCATGAAAACTGGAATATACTTATATTTCATAAGTGGAACAAGAGTCTTACTGACATTTTGTATTGACTATGGGGAATAAAGTACAATTAGAGTATACAGGGTGCCCTAAAGTTTTACTGCAGCTTTAAACTTTAATGACTCGGGGAAAATAAATGCTACAAACTTACAAAAAATATCATTTGAAAAATTAATCATTTTAATTTCATTTGTACTTATTTAGTTATGTGAATTCCTTTTTTTTTTATTTCCTTTTTGTAGTTCTCTTCACTAGTGTATAGAAATCCAACTGATTTTTGTATGTTTATCTTGTATCCTGATACTCTGCTGAATATTTCTATTAATTCCAGTAGTCTTCTCGTGAAATCTTTCGGGTTTTCTACATATAGTATCATATCATCCACAAATAGGGACAGTTTTACTTGTTCCTTACCAATTTGGATGCCCTTTCTTTTTCTTGCCTTATTGCTGTAGCTAGGACTTCCATGTTAAATAGGAGCGGTGATAAAAGGGCATCCTTGTCTTGTTCCGGTTCTCAAGGGGAAAGATTTCAGCCTCTCTCCATTAAAAATAATGTTGGCTGTCGGTTTTATTATGTTGATGAATTTCCCTCCTGTACCTATTTTATTGAGAGTTTTTATCAGGAATGGGTGTTGGACCTTGGGGAATACCTCTTCAGTGTTGATTGAGATGATCATGTGATTCTTTCATTTATGTGCTGGATTATGTTGCTTGATTTTCTGATGTTGAACCATCCTTACATACCTGGTATGAATCCCACTTGGTCGTGGTGTATTATTTTTTTGATATGATATTGGATTCTGTTGGCTAGAATTTTGTTGAGAGTTTTTGCATCTCTGTTCATGAGAGATATTGGTCTGTAATTTTCTTTTTTTGTGGTGTCTTTGCCTGGTTTTGGTATCAGGGTTATGCTGGCTTCATAGAATGAATTTGGAAGTATCCCTTCTGTTTCTATGTTGTGAAATAGTTTGAACAGTACTGGTATAAGCACTTCTGAATGTTTGGTAGAATTCTCCAGTAAAACCATCTGGCCAGGGCTTTTTTTTGTTGAGAGTTTATTACCTTTTCAGTCTCTTCTCGTTATGGGTCTGTTCAGATTTTCAACTTCAGTTTGTGTTAGTTTGCATAGGTAGTGTGTTTCTAGAAATTTTTCCATTTCCTGTAGGTTTTCATATTTGCTGTAGTTTTTTATAATACTCTGTTATGATCCTTTTTGTTTCAGTTGGGTCTGTTGTAATGTCCCCCATTTCATTTATTTGGGTTATTTGCATCCTCTCCTGTTTTTCTTTTGTCAGTCTGGCCAG